ATCTGGTATTCTCAAATGTAATAGTATATTACATTACGAGTGTGGAAAGTGACATTTTTCACATGAGTGGGAAATATTGTCGCAAGAGGCACAAGCCGAGTGCGACTATCACACGAGTGTGGAAAATCACTTTTCACACAAGTGATGTACAAAATTTTTCCGACGACCACAAAATAATATCAATAAATGTAAAACCAAGGTTATTATTACTATAATAATTAAAATGTATTTAAAAAAATAATCAACAATAATCGTATTTATTCAATTTTCATATTTTCTAAACAAAAAAAAAACTAAAAAAGAAATAAACAAAAAAAAATTTTGGTCCCGCTAGGATTTGAACGCGGTCGCTCGCCAGGTCTCAAATGGCAAAGATGATAAGTTCGACGTTCTAACCAACTGAGCTAATAGCCCTTGTGTCAATTGAATGATCTACTCGGTTATGTATTTAACCAGAATAAAGAGCAAACCTCGGAGCAAACATTTTAAAATTATTTTAATAATAATTGTTTAAGATAAATATCTAGGATCTAATTTACAACAATTTCAATAATTTAATAATCATATCGATTTTAGTATTAATATTGACATTACATAGATCAAAATAGAAATTAGGTGTTTGACATTTTGTGACAGCTACTGCGGAAAGTAACATATTCGTACACGGGTGGAAAGTAAATTCTTATTCATACGCGTGTGATATAGGGCACTTTCCATAGGACTATATAGTGTGATATGTCACTTTCATAAGTGGTCGTAGGAAAAAGTTTTTAAACATACATGTTGTCCTTACCTGCTTCTTGTTTTTTTGCTTCGAATATAGATTCTCATAAATCGACACCAATATTGCAGGCACATCCTCAAAGGCACTTATTTTCATGTCGCGGTTTTTATATTTTTTTTTTACAAAAGTACAAAAATGAAAAGTCTTACTAAGATCTAAGTCCAGTCTTATCGATCCCAAATTTACGACACATCATCCGTTGAGAAATCTACAGAATTTTGAAAATGCAAAAAAACGATATAAATTGGCGACAAAGTTTGGAAGCTCTAAAAACGCTCCATCTGCGTAGAACATACAGAGCCTTTTTGTTTTTTAGATTAGTCAAAAGGGTTCTTTTCATGTATTATTTATAGGTCAAAGCATGCTTAGAATATACCCTTATTTTCATGTAGTTTTATAAATACAATTATAGTCAAGTAGAACTTTAAATCAAAATTTTGGAGGAAACACAGGAATTTTTGATATAGGTTACATTCGAGTATATGAAAACGATATGTGAAAAAAATTTGTTTTTCATGCCCCGGGAAATGGCAAAAAAAAAGGGTTTTTAAAGGTTATTTGCAAACGATAGGTGCTATAAAAATAAATTCTTAATAAAAATTGTAAATCATAAAGTTTTACATAAAAATTATTCATTTTTTGCTATTATTCAAATTAACAGAGTTATGGCGGTTAGAAGTTAAGAGAAGAAATATATGACTTTAAATAATCATAGCTCAAATTTTAAAAACTTTATGCTTTACAATTTTTATTAGGAACTTTTTTATAGCACCTACCGTTTTCAAATAACCCTAAAAAACACTTTTTCTTTTTTTCACCATTTCCCGGGACCTGAAAAACATTTTTTTTTTTTTTACATATCGTTTTCAAATACTCAAAAGTAACTTATATCAAAAATTCCTGTATTTTCTCCAAAATTTGGTTTAAAGGTCTATTTGATTGGACTAATTAATGTACATTTCCATCGTCGTAATATTGGACACGATGTTATGTTATGTTGAGAATGTGGTGTTAATACACTGCGACCTAAAAGATCTATTGTGCCCCCTTCTGTCGCCACTGCACTAAGGACACGATACCGACAACGAAGCCGGAGGATTCCAAATCTCGTCTAAATAAAGGTAAGATGTTTTACTTTCCGGCAGTGCGACATTCGATAGCGACGTGTGACACTAATGTGTGCCGGCAAGTTATTCTAGCAGTAGGCAAAGGAATGTGCTGTTTAAAGGTAAACTGTTTTACTTTCCAACAGTGCGATAGCGACGTGGGATGAACTGTGGAGACGCGAGTTGCTAGTTTGCGACAAATATGTTTTTTACCATGCGTCACTTCAGAACCAAAAGTTCGGAGCTGTAATAAAGTTGTCATTTCATTCTATCAGTGTTCAAATATAAAATTGACTTCAAATAAAACAAAGTATGACTCTAGTCGCCATTTTGATTACACTTTTCCGTCACTTTTGGTGCGTCTATCTATCATATCGCAAAATAGTATTTGTCATCTCTACTTCGTTCTATCTCGATGGGTAGCACACGTCATAGAATATAATGTAAATAAACAAAGATATCCCAAATGAAAAAAAAAAAAAAAACTGCTTCTATTTGAAGATGCTCCAAAAAATCACTATATTATGTCTCAATACAATTGAAAAAGGAGTCGCTCATTACGATGCTTTTTGACAACAGTATAACACGAATATAGATATTGTGACAACTTTGATAAGAAAGGTTACTCTAAGCTCCTCCACTAATGTTGAATTTCTCGCTCACTTTCTGATGCCACTCTTCCTTGATATACTTTTGCCGATTTCAGTTTTCATTCAATTTAGTAGTTGCGGTTACATAGCAAAAAGATCAATGCATATTGTGATGAAGAAAGCATAAACTTTTACAGTTGCTTTTAAAAGAGAACGTTCGAGTCATGTGGTGAAATTATCGTATATTTTGGGTTTATCATTCATTGTACAGAACACCAAAATTATCGTACAAAAAGATCATTACCGTACCTACACTTAACAACACTGCTTGAAGCATCTATCATCACTCATCGAGGAAGATATCTTTGGCATGTACACCAATAATCTACAATTACTCATCGGTTATCAAGGCATCTTCGGCATGTACACACCCTAAGAAAATACTGTCAAGACTAATTATGTTCTTAACGTAAAAAAACTAGGGTGTCTAATATTCTCCAGATGCTTCAACTATGCCGCAGGATGGATTAAAGATTAAGTTTAAAATTTGGTGTTTCTCTTTCTCCGTTTTTGAGTTATCTTCAAAATTCGAAATTTGCACTTTTTCTCAAATATGTCGAATACAGTCTATTTTACGGAAATCATGTATAGGACCAAAATTATAGAGAATGCCATCCAAGCAACTTTTATCATAATTCCTATATTTTTCTTATCTGTATTCAGAAAGAAAAGTAAAAAAATAGCCGTGACAGTAATTTCTTAGGTAACCCATTTGCGGTATTTTTATAAATGCTATTTTATGATACCTGTTACGAAATACCTTATTTTATGTAACGAGTAAATATTTGCGGGACGAGTAGAGCGAAGTTTCGCAACATGAACGAGTTACATATAGCGGCATTTCGTAACGTGTTACTTACAATATTTTTTTCTAATTTTGACTAATTTTTTATCAAATTGTGTTTTAGCAAGACATTCAGGACATCTAGGCAACCAATATTGCCTTCTTGTATTGTTAGTTGCAAATCTATCATTTTATAGAAAAAAAAATAATCATGTATTCACAATGGACTGTAGTGTTTATTTAGTTTTCAAAAAAATGGGTTATTTTGTCGTGTATCGGGTTTTAATTATTTTGGGCTGATTTAGAATAGAAAATAAGGATTAAAACAACATGATTAATAAGTTGTAAGTTTCACCAATTCTATTTTTGTAAGTCAACCTGCCATTATCTGAAGTAAACTTTAAATAATAATGTATATTATTGATTATAATACCAAAAAAGTTTTATTTTTATTTATTTTAGCAATTGGTGACATAATGAGTTTTTCGAAACCAGTTTCATATTGTTTAACATTATACAACTGGTTGCATAAAGAAGATCGTTTTGACACTTGTTGCGATTACAAATGTCACTATATGTCAAAATTAGAAAACATTTTATATACAAAATACGTGTGCCACTCGGGGACTACCGCGGAAAGCTATTGCATAGCATTTTTTATCAACTTATGCAAATAATTATTTATTTATTTTATTTATGCAGTATTTTTTTTTCTTTGATATTAATTCAAGTTTTTTCTTTGATATTAATTCAAGTTACACTTTTTGAGCGTGGTGACCGATAAGAAATTTTTTTCTTTTATTGAATAAATGAGAAGTTAATATTGTTTAAAATATTTTTATTATCTTACAATACATGTAGATTATTCAGGAATTTTTATCATTGAAACTATAGGTTTATGGTAACTGAAATAAGAAACATAATTTTGAGACTTGATTTCCTCTAAATATCTGGAAAATACCGCATCAATGGTGGTCCCATATTTTGTTGTGGATTCTTGTGGATCATTATTCATTTTCCCAATTCATTTTTTTCGAAATTGTGTCTAAAAGAGATAGAATCTGTTATGAGCAGTTAGCACTTAGTCTACACGCATACGTCTAGTCGCACGCACACAAACACTGTGCCGAAGTCTGCCGAACTGAAACGACGTTAGACGATGCACGGCTTTCAACGCCGCACCGGTCGATTTTATTTTATTGAATAAATATTGTTTAACGCCGCACCGCTGTGCCGGTCGGAGTGGGGGGGTGTTAGGTTTTATTTTCGTTACGGAATTTCTTGATTCGGTCGCCGCGCTCAAAGCCCGCGATAAAAGCTATGAAATAGCTTAAGAATTTTCATCCGTAAAACAGATGGGTGAAGGTCGACCTTACTAGATTACTTTAAACTTATATAACAATCAGGTATATTTGACAACTTTTGCTAAATAAACTTGTAAACAACTAGATTTAAATGTCAGACAAAATTTGCTGCAAAAATATAATCGCCTACTAGATAGGCTAGCAGAAAGAGAACAGCCATCGTATTGTAGAAATGGACGAATCTTTTGTCGCAGGCGGTTACTTTTTTCTTCATAACTACACTTACCTTATTATTATTCCATCATTTACTAACTGTAACATTTAGTTGGCCGTGAAAATAATCTTTCATGGCACTTTTCAAGTGACTAATTATGCTTTTCTTTGCTGGGAATCATTCTAAATACCTGCTTGCAAGAAGGGATTAACTCAATCATAAAAAATCTAATAAAAATTGAATTTTTATCTATCTAGATTTTGTTTTAAATGTAAATTGCCTTTTTGTAATATAAACGATGGTCTTAGGATTGAACTGATTTAATTAAAAAAAAAAAAACTAATTAGTTTTGGTAAAAGTATTAAATTTGGAAATCAATGAGAAATAAAACACGGTACTTAAAAGAGATTCAGTCATTTTTTAAGAATATAAAAATTTAATAAAACTGTCTTACAAAAAAATAACAATTTAACTTTAACAACATTTCCTTAGGAAAAATAATTTACGTGGAATGAGTTTGCGTGAATGGAGCGATGGGTTGAGAGTACCAAGAGATTCAAAATAGTATTCATAACCATCTCGAATTAAAAAAAAAAAACAAAATCAGAAAAATATGAGGTGGTTATCAATAACTCATTTGAGGGTACCTGCCTAAAGGAACTGCAGTAAAAATATCACAGTATCACAATTTACCATTGTAGTAAATAAATAACGAATTTTTCTGATTTACACATATCTATCTTTAATGTATATTGACATTTCATTATCTTCATGAAATATACTAATTAAAGTCTTAAAAGTCTTCGAATTGGTGAATTAACAAAATCAAAATAAATAAGTTTTTTGAAATATGCTTCAAATTTATTTAGGAGGTGGCGTTGACGAGCTTAGGCTTATTACAATTTTAAAGGAAAACTTAGACCTTGGTTTTGTAACGAAAGATTTTTGTCTCAAATACTTAAAAACTTGGTATTTCTCTATCTAGATTTAAATTTAAAATTATAAAAGTGAACGCCCTAGAGCCACTCCCTATAAGGGTTGTTTATTGTCAAAATTTTGATTTTGTGAATTAACTTGTTTTGAAACTTAGGCTTTTAAATTATCTTATTTTTAAATTTGTTTCTTCCAAATATTTTTATGTAAAAGAAAAATACTAATTAAAGACAAGCAATTACATTGGTCAGAAAATATAATAACGGGTTCCATGAAGCAGTGAAGATAATGGGGGTTATGATTGACAACCTGTGTTATTTTTAACAGGTGTTATTTTATAAACACACAGAAATAACACCTGTTCACAAATAACGTGTCTGTTAAAAATAACATTACTTGTCCATCATAACCCCGTATATCTGTTAACGATAGACAAGTAAATGGATTAGAAAAAAGTGATTGCAATTGAAAGCAACAAAGAATGGAAGAATGGATGTGGGTGATGAGATGAGGTTTTATGAATAATACGTTATATGGCACTATGATTTTATTGAAATTTAATGTGTTTTAACAATATATTTGTTTAATATATACCCCCGGCTATCTACTTTTTCAACTGTCACTAAAAGAAATGATAAAATGGAAACAAAAAAATATTCTAATATCGCTTGTAGAGTCAAAATAACAATTAGTTTTGGAATTTTATTCTTTTACATCACTTTTTGATCACAATAAAACATTTACTATTGTTATAATGACTCTGTCGACTGTCTGTATTTGTCTCAATTGAATGACTCAAAAAATGCTAAAATAAATGTGCAGAATAGGTGTAACCATTGCTGATGAACGTCCCAACTTAAAATAATCTACTACTAAGACATTTAATTATAATGAATTTAATGCCCCAATGTGCACATCACGCATCACTCAAAATTCCAAGTCAGAAATTAAGTCAATATCAAACTGTAAATTTATATCACTAGCGAATATATTAGCATCAAATTATTATTTAAAAAAAATGTAAGTGAATTATTTTAAGTTGGTCTGAAATTTTATAAATATTAGGATAAAATAATTTTTAATGTCCATATACTGTTATTGAAAACGTCTGCTGAGTATTTAGTTGACTTTTTTAAATTCATCATATGTAAAAAAAAATCACAACAATTATAATTTTTTTGTAAAACAAATTTAAAATTAATCCTAATTTTATTTCTATTTATTGTCTCTGAACTATTTGGATAAAATAACTTATTTGTAGGATTGACCGGGTAACAATTTTTTAGACTTATTAACAATGTAAGAATCGTCAAGTATTAAGTTTTTAAATCTATAATCTACTTTATTAGGTATTTTTAAAATTATTTTTTATTAACAATTGACATTATACTCACAACATTAGAGATCCGTTAAATACGGTCATTTTAATCGTTAATCATTTTAATTTTGATGAATTTAAATTAGCCTTATCAATAAGCTGTTCTAAGCAGTAAAAACCAACTCTTCTGCTTGAAAACGTATAAAAGTGTTTCGAGTGATCCTAATAATTAATCATGACCAGTCAACATCTCAAATTTTATCATTAGTATATATAGGCCTTTTGTGTAATAATTTATAAACATATACACAATGAAGTCACTAGTTTTACAGATATTTTTAAAATGAAGACTAATTTAGTATCCAACCAAAATTTTGCAATTAAATATGTCAACGTGTTAAAAATTTCTAGTGTATTCCTAAGACTGTATGAAACAATGATTTTTCCCTATACTCAATAATATCTCTATATTTCAAACAAAAATAAAATTTTTATATGGATTAAAATTTATATATATCTAAACAAAAGTTAATATAACTATATTATATAAAAATAAAATATATACAAATAACAGTTTTTGATGTTTTTTAACAAAAAATTTGATGAATGCATAATGTGAATTAACAAAAAAGTTCTCTATACAAGATAAAACCAAAATGTTCCAAACTACATGCTCTCTAGGTAATAATCCTTTATGTAGACAACTTCGCGTGGAAAAAACATTTAACAAGTGCGGCTTAAGTCACAACATTGTGATCCTATCTGTATATAATACACAATATAGTTACTGAAATAACTGGGTACGTTCAAAAACTTGGCGTGATAAAATCATTTTTACCCAATGTAGCGAAATGTGTCTACCATAAATTAGCCGCATTCACTTTCCAAACTAGTTTCATACAGCTATGTGTCTATATAGTAATTATGGCTATTAAGTGAATAAAGTCGTAATGGAACAACAAAATTTAAATTTTTTTCTATTTTAACCTTATATTTGGCAATATGAAGCTGCAAAAATATAATTAAGAAGGCTTAAAATCTTCAAACGCCATATTAGGACTTCAATAAGCTCCGCTCATTAAAATTATTTTGATATTGCAGTGTGTAATAGTAAATTGACATCTAGTAGCTCTCTAGAACTTTGTTTACTGATATCACAAGTTTGTTCTTCTTGCAATAGTCTAGTTTTGGAAATTGAATGTGGCGTCTAACAATTCCAATCAAAATTTCTAAAAAGCGTAGTTTTAGATAACGATACCGCCACAAATTACTTAACAGAAGTGAATATCACAGCAACAGTTTATTCGCGAAGAATGTATGTTGTATAAATGGGAGAGTCTGGTCACTTTTATGCAATCACAAACAGTTTTTATTTTCCCAAATAAAGATTTAGGAATGACCATGAAATCCACAAATTGGCAAACAAATGACCAGAAAGATGTCAAGTATGAAAGCTTAATTTAAAAAACGTTTATCAAGCAACAACTAATTAACATTTCACCCGTTATCTTCTAAAATGTAGTATCATATTTTAACATTAAATATAACTTTTTTTAGAACTTGTCCAATAAAAGTACATTACAATTACATATATTTTATGTAAAGTTAATATATGGTCATCATATACATTTAGACGATTAAACTATGAATGTGTATAAAATCACCGCAACTTTTTAACTTGGTGTTAGCAAACCAAAAACTAGGTAAAATTCTTGTTGCACATTTTCATCTTTCAACGCTTTTCCAACACTGAATAAGTCTTAACAGAAATGAATTCTTCAAAAAAAAAGGATTACATCTCATGAATCGGTATCCGAATCACAATATATTGTAAAAATTGAAATTATATAAATGATCTTTGAAAAACTGTTGAATAAAGAACAGATTTTTTACCTTTACGTGGTAATTTTAAAGTTACATAAATAAATTAAAAAATGACACTGGCCACTAAAACTTCTTCATTCGTCAATATCATTTCAAATAACGGAAATAAAAATATTTAACATTTTTTATAGACAGCCAAGTTAAAACATTTTAGGCGAGATTGTGTCCAAACATTAACAATATTAACAACATGCTATAACAACAATATATAATATGATTTGAGTCACATTTATCTCTGTATAGTATATAATTATGTCATATATGTTAAAAGAACTATGAGAAGTATGTAACGAGTTTTATAAGTGAAATAGATGACTAATTTGCTAATGACTATTTACAACTATTTTTATGCCCTTTTTCTCAACAAATCCCTTTTTTAAGTTTCATGATTGGTAACGGAACGAAATCATAGATTCGAACAAAATTCGCCAAATCACGCAACACCATCAAATTTAAAATGAAAATTTAATAAAAACAACACTTCTATTTTAAAGCTTTTCAGTCACTAGTAGATTGTAGATTTTCAACTTCAATTGAATTATTTTCCGAATCTCATGTCAAGAAATTGTATTAGTAAAATTGGGCATGAAACGAGTTGCTGGAAAATCGAGTTCAGTATATATACCCGATATCGTACAGACTTTTGTTTGTTCCACCCGATGAAAAAAGTCGTCAAAAGGAAAAGATTACTCAATAATGTGGAAGAGGGTAACTGTTTTAAAAACCATAAAACGCAGAACTTTTTGGCATAGGATAAGGAAACCCTCATCAAACGGAGAGTACTTTAAAATGAAATAAGTTCCTGTATCTTGAAGACGATTGAAGATGCATACCAGTTACTGTAAGGTAAACCTACCAAAATGACAAGAATGCATGTTTAATATTTACATTTTTTTTTTTTTTCATTAAATACCAGAAGCTTCTGAGAATAGCAATAAAATAGGCAGTGATTCTGATGATTAAGGTTATATCTGGGCAATATCGACTGAAATAGATGCATAGGAGAGATAGAAATAAAAAAAAATCTAACATCTAATTTTATACTATTGATAAGACGTCAAAATCAAAATAAATATATGTAAATGACATTCTTAAAGTTTAATAGGAATAGCGAATAAATGATTTTTGATAATCACTTTTGAGTATACAATGCTCCCATTGTTTTGTTACTAATTTGAAAAGTGTAGTAAGAGAATCTATGATTTCGTTAAAATCAAAACATTTTCCTTTTCACGATTTCTTGATAACTGACCAGGTGGTCAGTTACGGCACAAGCAATAATATATAGGTATTTTTTGAGGTTCGTTGCAGGTACACATTTCGAAAAAAAAAAAAAAAATACACTGAAGATGACGAAATACTATCAGCATTTCTCGAGAATGTCGATCAATCAATCCATCAATCATCGACAGTAGTCAACTAATTACCAATCACAATATACAAATTATATTAAATATAAACTAATAAGACAATCTTAAACAAAAACCTGAGTAAAAAAAATGACTCAAAAAGCGGGAACCACTCCTTAAAAAAACGGATAACCAAAAATGTTTTAGTTAGTTACTAGACTGCACACTATGTTTCTGCTCTGAAATCAATAAAACTCAACTAGTAAAATATTCTGAATTTTTTTTTGAGGTCAACAGATTGTAAGATATTGACAACTTTATTATGGTTAGCCCCCTACGATCTAAAAGACAAGCCTTCAAAATTACACTATTTTTTTAGTGATGGGTCTTTTCTGTAAAAGTAATTTTTGGACATATTTGACAGACGTTTGCATGAAATATCTGAAAAAATAGTTTATCTTTATATTTTCCTATGTTGTCAACTAGTTTATTATCCTAATGGTTTTGAAATTGGTGTATTATTTGTATATGCAAAAACGTCAGATATTATATATTTTTAATTTTTTTATTAAATACATTCATAAAAGAAGGGTTTTTTGAGACTATTTTACTTATAAAATCAAAGTAAATAATTATAGAAATTTTTAAAAAGTCATTTTACACATTTTCTGATATGAAAAAAATCTCAAATATCATTACGAGTGAATTTTACAGAAGCAGGAGCTAATACGGATGATATTATTTGCCGTGACGTCTAGTCTATATCTCAAACCTATTGTTTCTTCTACTTAAAATTACTTTTTGTCATTGTAAGAAATTCAGAATTTCCCTCGTGTGCACTTTGCTTTTTAGACATCTCGGTCAGGCATTTCCGAGCGACCCATCACTATTTTTTAATAATTTTAATTACTTTTATAAATTCATTTGACTAATAAAATATTTGACATTTTATGTTTTACCATTTTGAAGTCATACCCGCTAGCTCTAACGACCAAAGCGTATTAAAAATAGCGATACGAGACCTACTGCTAAAATTCTGAGCTGTAGCCACGTCAAAACTGTGATAAATATAAATTTGGAATCGAAAATGTTGAAAATTATGTCAACATTTTCGATTGAAACAGATCTTAAAAAGCAATAAAATAGTTTTTTAATTTGTACGTTTCTTCGTCTTTATCCAAAAATTTTAGCAGCAGCTCCCCATCTTTAATAAAAATTCAAAAATTTTCCAATGCTATTTCAAAGAGTTTTAATAAGCAGTGGTCATTTATACTTGTTCATGGGTTGTAAAGAAAACAAAACTAAAACCACCTTAGATTGTCCAAACTATTAAAATAACTAATTATAATAAAACTGCTCTTGAATTAGTATCTGTGAGACATGTGATTAAAATGTTAAAAAATAGATTAAATTATGTACATAAACTCTATGTGAAATGTGAAAAAAGAATGATTGGTACAAACACCAGAAGTGACAATATGAATGATGTCATCACAATTTCGATTTAAAATTCTCAAAAATTCTAAATCTACCTGTAAAAAATCAGATCGCTTCGTAACAATTCACCTTTGCTGAAAAAAAAAATAAAATCCTTATACAAGTACCCATACAATTACAACAAAAATATAATATTTTAACTGTACAAATAAATTTGACTTAGAATTGGTCCATTCAAAATTATTAAAAATTTACAAATAAACATGTAATAAACATTTTACAAACAAATATATTTTACAAGGTTTAGAAAAATAAACAAAAAAAGAACAATGTATTTATACTGCACGGAGTACAGTGTGCAAAACAAAAATGAGGGGGTCCTCTTTTATCGCAAAAGACAAAATTGAAAAATTAACAATAACATTCTTTCCAATTAATTGCTTTTAACAAATGATCGGATGTAGTAAATCAAATCTGGAGTAACAAACATTACAAAAATAAAATCGTTAACTAATACAAATTAAAAATCATTGTGGAAATACCTACTTTAGAATATACATTTACAAAACGGGTTGAGAAATCATTTGTTTAATATAAAACTGGGGATCAAATCACACTTTTCTCCGTTTTCAATTTTTCAGTGTAAATTAATAAAAATTATAGATTTAAATCCAAACCAACTCAATCGTCAAAATCACGTCATTCAAAAATTAAACTTTACGTAAATAAAATAAAAGTTTACAAAACAAAAACAAAAAAGTTAAACGGTTTTATAAATCCGTACAAAAAAAAAAGCCTCGGGTGTATCAGGAGTAGTAAAATAATAGATATCTCAGCTACGTTCTCACTGTCGTAAAAGGTATTTTTTTTTTAAAGCTGGAGGATGTCCAATGGGTCTAGTATGTACTAATTGCATTTTAGCTGCGTTAACCAAGCCTTCTGAACTTTTAGATCCAAAAAAATTCGATAATCCTGAATTTTAGTTGGAATATATTAGTAGGAGTTCATATTTATGCATCAAAATTTATATTGTCCATAACATTTTCAAAGCAGTTTCTGGCACCTACATCAAAAGTGGTAATTTTTGAAATTCGTTCCACCACAATTTCAGTTTGTCTAAGCCTTTTATTTATGGTATAGGAGATTGGTGTACAGTTCAAAACTATAGGTGAAAAATATAAAAAGCGGGAAAAATGTGGATTTGTCCTCACGTCTTTAGTTGCGATAATCATTACTCCAGAAGTTTGATTTATTTTTCTGACATAAATAAAATGAGTTTTAATTGACAACAAAAGACCCCAGTCAAATGACATACACGTATCAACAATACAAATGATGGCTAAACTCCCGTCATTAAGTCACAACATAATATATATTTATATATAATTTGTTTTAATTAAAATTAGAGTCCCAACTATTAAACCACACCCATCGCAAAACATTTTATCCTCCGATGGGTTTTACATCATGCGGACTTCTGTTGCTTGTACTCGAATCTTTGAAATTGTTTGAGGTTATGTTGTCCGACGATCATTGGATTGCGAGCGTGCCGAGGCCGTTGTTGCGCGCCCTCTTCATTTCCTCTTCACCAATGCGTTGCTCGATGAGATACTGGGCAGTTGTGATGGAATGCGGGTTGCCTGTTATAGTTACAATGCGATTGCGAGTACCAGGTGCAAAGATGCCTTTTTTCGATATTTGTATGCTGGCACCGCTGATTTGCTGAATTTCGACTAGTGAACGGCCACCGGGACCTAAAAATTTAAGACAAATAAATTACAAATAAATTATCTGCTATCTGTTGGACGGTGAAAATATAAGGACTGGAGCAAAGGTCCGAAAACGCTTAATTATCTCGTAAATGAGTAGTCCGAATTGTACATAATTTAGGATAAACCTATTTTAGGATAGGGAAATTCCAGATTTGACATTTGCAATGTTTCCAGAGATACCGTTTTACTGATATAATTAGTCACTTTGGTTTTTTAAATACCTCACCCTATTATTGAAATCTCTTCAATGCGAGTTCAACCATATATAACACTTGAGATTTTATGCAATCCGGAAGATCCTAATAAAACAAAAATTTGCGAACCATCTTAGAAAAGCAATTTACCTTGAAGAACTTTTCAAAACACGTCAAGCTGCTGTCAGTTTTAGTTAATAATATAACTGGTGAACTAATGTCAAAATTACAGCATTCCAAATTTAATTGACCCAGAGCTCGAAAAGTACTCGAAAATTGTACTTCAAGCACCAAGTCCGTTGTTAAATTGCCAGCATCAAGCACCAAGCACTTTGGAAATTCTAAGTGCTTCTAATTAAGACATTTAAGTGCTTGCAAGCACTTTAAATGGCTTGAAATGCGAAATTCAATTACCAATTACCAAGCACTTTTTATAAAGGGCTTCAGTTACCAATTACTGTAATTTAAAAGTGTTTGAGAGCGCTGTGCTCGAAGCATTATGTATTGTGCTTGAAGCAACTACTGCCCAGCTTTGATTTGACCTTATGCACTAAGTTCTGGGTGGGTGGCTCAGTGGTTAAGAATCCAAGGGTCCGTGGTTCGAATCTCACCGTCAGTCGGAATGTTTTTAATTAATTTATTTATTTAAAAATAATTTTGATAGATAGGTAGGATTCCCCACTCCGAGCATTTATATTTGGGTTCTAATTAACAAAGTGTTCCACTTGAAGTGGTGCTAGGAAACAGTAACAAATCTTACACAAACACATATTACTTAGAAGTAATGAAATATCACAAACTGAGACTGGCTAATTAGCCATAAAACAAAATAAAAATCCAGAGAGCCAACTTTTAAAATAATTAGTACCCTGAATACATAAAATTTCGAGTGTTTTTTTTTCACGCACCCCCTTTCCCCCCCAAATACACCTACAAAATCAAGCCAAGTGAAATTTATTCAAGTCAATGATGCAAAGTTGTCGCTAACCGAAAACAACATGGTACAAAAAAGCTCGTTGTGTCAACTGTTAACTTTTTCTGTGAAAACTTCAGCGCAAAATTTCGACGCAGTTTTAATTCATTAATACATTTTTTTAGTACTAAATTTAGTATCGTGACATACAGCCTTTAGAAACCATTTCCAAAATTTTAAAAATCTAGTTTAATATGAACTACAGTTTACCACTCGATGAATTGTCACGTAACACTTAATAATTTTCTGTGATTAACTAGTTCGTTTATGTGAATTCCTTTGATTTTCACCTCTCGAGAACTAAAGGTGATCGGGTCGATAGGCCAAAAGAACTTTTCAAAATTAGATAAAGTTGTTTTAGGCGTGTACTTAAAAGATATGCAACATGTATATTCCTCTCGTTTCATAAATATCTAATCAATCCATAATAAGTGCATGTTGCAATCTTAAAATCGTTTATTAACAATCAAATTTTTGTTACACCATTTAAATTAAAAAAAAATTGATTTTATTAACACATACTAAACATCATTTTAACGTCTATTAAAATTCACGCAACCATCGCAATTATTGTGCAAATTATTTTAAACAACCAACAGTTATTAGCATATGTTTCCAATGGATGATTGCCAATATTCCAATCCAATTAATATTTAATTAAAGCTGTCGTAAAATAACACAATTTTAAACGTTCATTTTGTGGAAAGTTTATGAAAAGGGGGAATTCGCGGAATAATTAATAAACGCACCAATGATAAATATTTGAATCTACAGTTTAGAAATTTGCTCATAGAGTATGTGTGAAAAGTTGGTTACAAATGGGAAATTAATTTGTTTATTAATTTGACAAAAAAAAATATTTTTAATAACAATTTCATCTGCATCAATAATCAAGAATCAAAATTGTAAACTATTTAGGGAAAATCAAAAATACTTATTTATGCTGAAGACTTGAAGAGTCAAGTGCTTTTAAATTTAATTACAGAAAATAATGTCATTTGAAATCATGTCTATAATTGATTAATGCATTTAAAATAAAAAAATATTTTTCCTTTATACCTTTAATATTTTACAAATTTGATTATTGATTTCTATATGAAGCAGAACTTTTTATGACAATATTTTTTTTGTTGAATTAATAATAAATTTCCTATTTGCTGCCAACGTTTTCAGACATAATGTAGATCATTTAATAATTCATTTAAAATGTATACGTTATAGATGATCAATTATTCTAAAATAATTAAATTAAAAAAGATAATTCCTACTATTATTTCAAACTGGGAACTTAAAATATTGTTCAATTTAAAGCATAGTCATGGGCCTCGCATACTCTCAAACAAAACACCCTCCAGATGTGCTATCTTGTTCAATTTAAAGCATAGTCATGAGCCTCGCATACTCTCAAACAAAACACCCTCCAGATGTGCTCTATCATTTTTTGTGAATCGATATATTTTTTAAACAACTTATACTATGAAATATAGAGTGATACAGTCACCTAACCTTCATTCTCGATTTTAAGTCTTGACCACACAAAATTAATGGATCTAAATATTATTAGTATCTTTGGCAAGACTCAAAATTGCCTTCCATTTGAGTTTGCTGACTTGCATATCTATCTCTGTACATGTATTAGTGGGAGTAGAGGTGGTGGTAAAAAATAAAACTTACCCCATTGGATTTAAAAAATTCATTACCAGAGTAATGTATTAATGATTTATGCGAAACGTCAATGTGAAGTTTGTCAAAGAGGTGACGAAAAATGGAACAAGGTTGTCCAAATATTAATTTAATATTTATTTTGTGAACAACTAAAATTAATGTTAAAAATACTTAAAAGTTCTGTTTATATTGTTAATTAATATTACCAAATACCTCGCGAGGTGAGAATTTTTTTGAGAATATTTTATTGTTTTCTTACTAGTTATGCAAATTTAACTCCCGAAATACTAATTTAGATGCAAAATTTCCAAGGAAACAAAAAATTCTCACCTCAACAGTTATCGACAGATGTATACACGAATTGGCTCCATGAGTTTGGTAACTTAATATTTCAAGTTGGATGCAAAATTATGTTAGTTTGAAATATAAAATATTCAAGCCGGTTATGTACATTCTTACCCCCCCTGTACACTGTATTATTTAAAATAAAAGTGAAAAACGCTAGGGGTCGTCAATTTTTAGTTTAATCGAGGCATTTTATAACAAAAAATCTGCCTCTCCTTTCATTCCCTTTACATGAGAGCCACCCCTCATTGTTATTAAATAGCAAGAGAGTTCCTGTGGCACTTTGTTAGAAAAATCCTGAAAAGTTGAATTCAAAAATATACCTATTACACTTAAGGTCTTGTATGCCAAATTAATTTTGAAATAAATAAACAAAGTATTATAACCACAATCAACTAGAAATTATTACAGAAGGTCCTAAAAATGTTCTCTATTTACTTGATAAAAGAGCATATAGGGAAGGCGAATCTTATAAAAATAACTCTAGGTTTAGATTATTAAGTATGATAACATTTTTTTAATGTCACTTTTCAAGCCCTTTCCAACAAAGTACCACGACCCCTCTTGCTATTTAATTAATATTGGGAAGTGCATGAAAGAGGCAAATTTTTTGTTCGTCTAAGTAATAAATCAAATTGACTAAAACGTAATGAAAATTGACAATAACCAATTTAACGATAAAATTGATAGCCGTGCTACTTTTATAATTTGATTTTCTTGTACCTCTTAGCATCTAGACATAATACATATCATTGTAAAAATTATCAAATATTGCAAAATCCTCAATTAATTCAATTGAGAGTGATGTCAAGTAACTAGTGTATTTTGTTTTGAATCTAGGACTGTTTTTCGAACGACAGTTTTTCCATGGACAGTTATTTGAACGGATGGTTCTTCGAACGGCCAGTTTTTCGAAGAGCCAATTGTTCGAACAGACCATTTTTCGAAAATACATTATTGAGGAATGATAAAGTGTAGGTAATTTAAACATCAAATATTCGGTGTTGCACCTGAAATGCAATTTATTTATTTTGTCCACGACCACTTAATAATAAATCAATATTCTACCTCCTAACTAAAAGCATATAGTACCCATATATCACGGAGTGAATTATGATAATTCACGCTTTTGTAATTCTGGCACATTCCGGTAGATAACTAAAGATAGGCGATACTTTTCATAACGATATTTTCTAGATCAAAAAATCGAAAAATCGAAAATCGAAATATCGAAAAATTGAAAAGTGGAAAAAACAACAGTTAGTTACCTATGTTTAATAAAAACTTTCCATTCTACACTTAACTTTTATTTAATAAAGAAACCATAATGGTCGTGGACAAAGTATAGTATTAGACTCTCAATTTATGGCCATTATTTACTCGGGTGACTTGCGCCCCTCGCCTACCGCTCGGGACACAAACGTCGCCCTGCGTGAATAATGGCTACCATAAATTGCTCGTTTAATAATATACTATTTTTTTATTTAATTTTTTGTTAACGGTGTCAGGTGCGACACCGAAACGTCAAAAATAAAAAGCGTTTTGTATAAAAATTATGGTTTTATTTCTAATTAATTCTTTTTAATACATGACTTATTTATGATACACTATATAACAAAAGAAACGAGGAACTTATTTATAAGACAAATTACCTGTAGGGTCTTTAGGAGAAAACTGAGTGATAATATTTTGTAATCTAATATTTAATTGGAAGTACTTCGTTTTCTTCGGTACAGCGGGAAGTTCCACAGTAAAATTGAGAAATTTTTATTTCAGTTAAGGATTGCTCGCGTTAAATGGAGGTAATAAACTTCCATATTGTGGGATGACTGGCAGAAAGTTGGGTTTCAAAGGCAAGATGTCAACCTTCAATGTGATTGTTAGTCTTGGTTGACTGTGTTATTTTAAACTTTTATCAAGCGTATGTTTTGTAGACATTTTTAAAAAGTGTTTAAGTGTTTTAGTATTTAGTTAGTATTACTGTTAATTTTAAGTTTGTCGCGTTAAAAGACAATATGGTCAGTTGTTTCTCTTGTGGATATAGCAGCACAGCTAAAAGTAGGAAGGAAGGAAGGAAGGAAGGAAGGAAGGAAGGAAGGAAGGAAGGAAGGAAGGAAGGAAGGAAGGAACTAAATTTCATAAGCAAGTATTTTATTCTCTCAATTTTCAACCACATTAAAGATTTTTTAAATTTGGAATGTTTTAAATTTGTAAACAAACATGGTGAGTGCGTCTGCGGTCAACTGTGTGGCGTAGTCTCATGGTTTATAGGGTATATATACTTACTTCTATTTAAATAATTATTTTATGCAATTTTATGTGGTTGTTAAAATCAATAAATTATTGTTCAATTTTGATTTATAAATTCATTGCAAGTAAACAATTTTCAGATTTCTTAAATATTCTAGATTTACAAATTATATAAATTAATCCCAGATAAACTATTTTCAGATTTCCTAAAGATTCTCAAAAAAGAAAGTTATGGCTTGACTTCATGCAACAAACAAATTGTGAGCCAAAATATCTTAATTTTTTTGTGTTCACGCCATTTAAAAGCAGATTGTTTTGATCGAACCTCAAAACCAAGAATAATCCTTCTACCAACAGCTGTTCCAAGAATAAAAGTGGTCCGGTTAAAGTATGTACGTAAATAAATTCGTTACTAACTATATCATGTACCGGTTTTTTCGTATATTAGAAATTTATTGTATGAATGTGAGGCACTCCATATAATTTATTACAAAGTTATTTACAAAAACGAACACAAATAAAATTAATATCTTAAGTAAGCAAATAAGTAGTATATCGCATGCCTCAAGATACTGTCTATGTTGTTTAATTTCGTCGTTTAAATACAGATGGAAATATTGTAAGTTTTTCAAACGACAGTTATCTTGTAAAATGCAGATTAAAATTATTAATAGAAAGAGATCTTATAAAAATTGTCGAATGGTTTAATTATAAAAACTTACAAACCTTTGATAAAACTTAAATTGTTTCATTATGCAGTTACAAAAAGATGCCCTCTTCCTATAGAATAAAAGGTAGGGTTCAGTAGTTTCATATAAGTATTACAAATGATATCAAATACCTTGGAGTACAAATTGACTCTCTTATTAACTGGACTAAGCATATAAATAATGCGTTGCCCTTTACCAAAATTTAAATTCCTACGATCATATTTGAATGTACATTTAAAAATAATCTATTTCACACTCATAGAATCGTTATTACGTTATATGATCCTTTCATGGAAAGGTGTTTTACCTGCTTATGCAAAATTAAAGTCATGCAAAAATATTACTAATAATATTATGTAATAAAATGATCAGATATTCTCTTAGATATTAGGAAGTTTTATTTGTACTCCAACAAAAACATATAAGAAAGAAATAGCACAGCGGTGTTTGACTTAAATATAAGTATTATAGGATGTTTAATGTTTTTTAAATGCATATCTACAAAACATATTATAATAAAGACGTAAAAAAGTCAATATTTTTTTAATACATTATTGCTTTGATTTTTCAAATCATCCCAAAAATATTTTCCTATATTTATCCCACTCAACATGCAATTTTAAGTAAAATTTATTCTCATAATGAAGGTTATTAAAAAAAAAATGCAAACTTCTCGCAAGAAAATAGCTATTCATTAAAATGAGATAAATCGGTAAATTTAGATAATATGCAAATGAGAATTTATTATTCTCTTTTCTACGCCCCTTTATGACAGTACGTAACTGGTAGACCGGAAACACTCCTCGTCATATTCCTCTAGTTCACTGTCAAAATTAGACTCTATCGCGATTTCAAGGTCGTTTAGCATTCCTCCTTCCTGACTATACACGGTGTTTCCGAACTTGGCATCCAAATTTGTAGAGGTGGTAGTTCGCATAATTTGAGAGCGATTGGCAGATTTCATTTTTCTAAAAAAATTATAATAAACAAAATAGAGCCATTATAAAAAAAATCAAAAAGCAGGTCCTACCCTGAGCGCGTAGCGCAATAGTCCCCGGCCGGTATCGAAAGGCGTAGCCGATTTTTTTTTTAGTGCGTATTGCTTTGTTGGGTTGTTTACCTCGCGTTCAGAGAATTGATCTCATCGCTGTGCAGGACCGTACCTGTTTAACATTTTAAATTAATTTTTAATTATTTTTATTTTAAATATTTTGGAAAAATGAAATCTGCGAATCGGTCTCAAATTATGGGAACTACCACCCCTACAAATTTGGACGCCAAGTTCGGAAGCACTCTGTATATATTCTAAGGTTAAAAGCCAGCTGTTTGAATGTTTCTGTAAATTGCCTGTGAAAAGTGGAAGAAACATCCTTGTACAATTGCATTCGGAAATTCTTGATGTATCGTTGCTTCAAAATCTATTAGAACCGATTGCGGTCTGAGAGCTGGTGCTAGATCTTTAAGGACCGAATTTAACTATGTAAGTGTCTTTTAATTTATCAGTTAGAAGTGCATATACCAGTGGTATGGATTATGAATGTATGTAAGGGGTTAGAGTTGGTAAAAAAGCATAGATGCAGTCTTAAAAGTTCCATCCATTATGTATTCAGCTTTTTGTAGATAATTTAGGTTGTCTTTTGTGCTGAAAATCTGAATTCTTTGTTTTATGTTTCCAGAATCGAAAATTAGAAATGGTTCGCCTTTTGTGGTGGTTTTAAAAGAATCAGGTAGATACAACTCCTCTAGACTTTTCGTCTGTGCGAGTTCCATGTTTTCTTTCACTGTTTCCTTGCGTATTGTCCGCTTTTAACTATTTACTTTACTTAGTTTGGCTGCTGTTAGTTTGTCCACTTCACTTGATAGTGCCGATACTAGGTAGTGTAGAGTGTTTCTTGTTGTCAGAGCATTGTCCTTCAGGTTTTTCTTAAAACTTATGGCATCTACTTCTGCTGCATCCGCGGGGTGGTTGTGAGAAGTCTCTTTGCAAACATCATCATGGCTTGTAATTGCTCGCGATTTACATTTCTTAAACAAAAAGAACTTGCACTTCCAATATTTTTTCATCAACGGCTTTGGCTTTAACGAATAAAAATTCGTTCACAAATAACTTTTACTTAGATTACCTGTTCTCAAAATTCAAAGGGATTATAATACTAATTAAAATTAAATTAGGTATATAAAATAAAACCAATTTATTTCGAAAAATTGTCTATCCAAAGAATCATAACGAAAAATTACCAGATCGAAGAATTTTTTTTGAATAACTGTCCATTCGAATAACTGTCGTTCGAAACACTGTCGTTCGAATAATTATCATTCGGAAAACTGTCCAGATACCTTTTGTATTACATTATAAAATCGATACTGTTGGCCAGTTATTTTTTTAAAGCTTAAACAAGACTTACCAAGTATGGCCCCGACAATGACCTCTGCTATTTCTACATTTTTTGAGTCTTTTGTACCATTGAGTTCAGCCGGAGTAGGACTCTTACTGAGCACCGTCATTGCTTGGCTCGTGCCTAATCCAAAACTGTTATTGTTCAATGAAATGGGAGCCGTGGCTGCCGAAGCTTGATGCCTAAATGGATCGAAAGCGGATTCGTAACGTTCCAGACTGGATCGGGGAGCAGCGGAATTACCACCTGAAAAATAAATCTCTAATTAGGTAAGACCAAAGTACAATCTGTAATATTTGTTACAATTTGAAGTTAAGACAAAAAATTATAAATCAAGTGAGTTTAATATTTAATTATAATAAGTGTTTCAGAAAAATGCGTTAATTATGGATTTAACCAGAAGTGAAAAATCTTAAAATACTTATAAAAAGAGAAAAAGGACAAGCGGAAAAAGAGTTAAGTAATTGATGTTATTCGGTTTATGGGCGAAATAATGGCATAAGATCAGAAGAGGAGCAACCTCATCAATGGCATAGGTTTATTTTTGGTTTATTTTTACATGGATCCATCGGTCAGCCTAGTCGCAATTTTATATTTTTATACAATAACATATGACAGTTTAATAAACTTTATAGCATAAAAGGTAATCGGGCAATAACTAACGATTTTGATTGGTCTATAATTAAAAGAAAAGGAGATTATATACTCTTCACACAGTAATCTGTGAAGAGTTTTATAATACGAGCCCTAACCACTATATGTTCGGCCTTTTTATAATTTTATTTCCGTTTATATTAGGAAACTTAAGGTTGAAAAAGAACATCTACTTAAATTTAATAGTTGTTGATTGTTTTTACTATTTGTGAGGGCATGACGCAACATGATCTTATTTTTTTTTTAAACACCATCTAATCGAAAGATAAATGACCATTTAAATGTTCGAACAATATCCTCCGCAATCATATTTCGGCGCCTTGTCCTTCGAGATCACTAGGTAGGTAGTAGGGCTCTTGTGTGCTGTAGACCCACACAGTTTATTATTCACGCTCCCGCAGCAGGTCAAGGAGACGTAAAAATACATCTACATCACTTACACAGAACAGCTCAAGGTCTGTATCCTGTATCAGCTAACTCATGCCGCCATTCTTGTTGTAGGTCCCGTTCAAGAAGAACGTCATCCCACAAACGATCTCGCACACCTAGGAGCCGCCCCCCAATCTATAAATAATACAGGGAACGATCTCTTACCTGGAGCCCCTACTCAAGGGAATCATCGAGCAGGCCACAGGCCTATTTCCCCATACAATCGGACAGAACGCCACCGGCGCAATTCCGAGAGACAGATAATCACTAAGACATTCCATTGGATGAGCAGGTTCCTACTGATGTCCTAACAATCACAGATGATATAGAGTTAGATGACGATGCCCTCGAAAGTTTAGGAGAAAAGAAGGTACAAACTACCTTATATCACCTTCATCCCATTTTAAAAAATAGATGGGAAAAAATTGTTACAGAAGGTCTGGAAAAAGAGGAGAGGGCGACACTCTTAAAAAAGCAGGAATTTCCTGCTAATTTACCATTATTGGAAGCACCAATATTGAACCCCGAAATTTTGTCTGCACTACCGGAACAAACCACAAAAAATGACAAATTCCAAATTAGCAGACAAGCCCAGCTAGGAAAAGCAATATCAGCCATTGGCAGAGCAGTGAATATTTTGTTAAAGAACAACACATTGGATCTACAAAATAGAAATACCATCGGGGAAAATACTAACAGATCTTCATTATATAATGTCTATCTAGAAGGGCTTCAATTACCTTACAATTAGACAAGTCTGTGAGAGAGGTCACAATGAAAACTCCAGTCTCAGATCATCTCTTTGGACCAAATCTGGGGGAAAAAATAAAGACTTCCAAAGACATTCAAAAATCTGGGCCGGAGTTAAAACATGCCAAAAACCAGTTACTCAACATCAAAAACTACAAGAGTCTGCCGAGGACAAGGAGGGACCCTCAACAAACCACAAGGCACTACCCTCAACAAGCGACAAGGAACTACCATCAACAAGCAAAACAGTACCAACAACAAAAATTCAGGAAATAATTCCTGAGGTAAGTAGCATAGCTGGACAGTTACAAAGAGGCATTACAGCATGACAAACAATTACTACAAACCAAACAATTTGTCAGTGGATTCTAGGGTACAAAATCCCTTTTTTCAAGAAACCTAAACAAAGAGCAACACCAAAAACAAAAAATTTCAGTAAGACAGAAAAACGCGAGATCACTGCACTGCTGAATAAACTGGTAACTGAAGGAGCGATAGAAAAATGTAAGAAATCTAATGACCAATTTTTATCACCTTTCTTTTTAAAACAAAAAAGTGATGGAACCAAAAGATTCATACTTAACCTAAAACAATTTAACAAGTATCTTCAACCACCTCATTTCAAACTAGAAACCATCAGAACTGTCTTCAAAATAGTTTAAAAAGGCAGTCTAATGACCACTAAAGGAAAATTATGGAATCGCCATCCATTCTAAACACAAAAAATACCTTAGATTTTAATTCGAGAACACTACATATCAATTTACTTGCCTACCCTTTGACCTTTCTATTGCACCATACCTTTTTACCAAAATTATGAAACCTGTAGTGGGTTATTTAAGAAACCAAGGTATAATTTGTGTAATTTACCTAGATGATTGGTTGCTGGTAGCAAAATCCAAACAAGAAAGCTTTGAGATAACCACAAAAACAATTTCGTTATTAGAATCTCTGGGCTTCACAGTAAATTACAATAAAAGTTCCCTAAACCCGTCCCAATACTGCAGGTACCTCGGGTTTATTATAAACACTAGACACATGATTGTAGAACTACCTAGAGAAAAATGAGAAAAAAACTCTAAAATTAATAAGGACAGTGAAAGCTTGCAATACAACTTCCATCAGAAGTTTTTCATAGATGTTAGGAACCTTAATATCTAACTGCCCAGCAGTCAAATACGGATGGCTGTACACAAAACAGCGTGAAAGGGCAAAATGTATGGAACTAGTAAAGCATAACCAAAACTACACAGCAAAAATAAAGCTATCTGACTATGACATACAAGACCACTTAGACTGGTGAGAAAAGAACATATTTACTTCGAAAAATATTATTCGCAATGACCATTATGTCATGGAAATCTTCACAGACTCATCACTTACAGGTTGGGGGCCGCCATAGGCAACTTAAAAACTAATGGGTGGTGGACAGCGGACGAGAAGGAATACCACATAAACTTCCTGGAATTGCAGGCCGTATTCCACGCTCTAAAATGTTTTGCATCTGAAGAAAAGTCAGTAACTATATTGCTAAGAATTGACAATATAACAGCCGCTGGTAGATTTATAGAATGGGTAGCACTAAATTCCCTACCCTTAGCAATCCCTCACGGCAGATCTGGCAATGGAGCCAAGAAAGAGACATTTGGCTTGTCGCGTCATATATAAAGTCAAAAGACAATTTGATAGCAGAACGGGAATCGAGAAGATTACCTGAAGACACAGAATGGCAACTGAGCACAGAGGCATTCTCTCAAATTACAAGGTTTTTCAGAGAACCAAACATTGACCTATTTGCCTCCGGCACAAATATCAAATGCCCCATTTACGTCTCCTGGTTACCAGATCATAAAGCATATGCACAAGACGCATTTACCATAGACTGGAAAACATTTCACTTCTCTGCATTCCCCCCTTTTAGCCTAATACTAAGAACCGTAAGCGAAATAATTTCAGATAAAGCCAGAGGCATTTAGTTTTTCCAACGAAAACGAATGCTTGTAGGGGAAATAATAACCCTAAAATCAACGAATGAACCACTGCGTTTTTGTTCTAGCAGGATCCATCCATTGGAGAGGAAAATTACCCTGGCTGCAGCAGTGTTGTCAGGAGAGCATTCCAACACAAAAACATACCTAATGACTCAATCGACATAACAGTGGAATCATTAGCAAAATCTACGCTAAAACAATACGACGTTACCTACAAAGCTTGGTGGAACTTCACTAAAAAGAACAAAATTTCCGTTTATCAGGCAGGCTTCACAGAAGTAATTAAATTTTTAAAAGAAATGTTTGACAAAAACCCCCGCACAACATATGTTAAAAATTGAGTGTTGATGTGAGTTACTTTTATGTGTGTTATAAATGATTCAACATTAACAAAAACAAATTAGTTTTACTTAATACGACTTTAATTCTATGCAATAGAATTAACAATAATTTTTAAATTTAGGTATGTATTACCATAGATTTGAGGTATATTTTAGTTTAATAAAAGTTTTTAAATTATGTATAGTTGTCACTTCAAAAGGTAAACATAGTTATATCAAATAACAAAAAAACAAAAATCAGGGTAATACTCAATGATTGGTTAGGATCGCGAGCTCTTAGTGGCTAAAATCAAAAAATGTTACTAATTTGACAGATTAAAAAATAATCTCAATAAATTATTTTAAACAAAGAATGATACGTAGCTCTAGCTATAATAAAATTTTATAAAGAATTCAATATCGCTTGAAAGGTAAAATTCTTGTTTACGATTAATAATGTGTCAGATATTCTATTGCCAGTTACATTTTACGTCAATCAAAGAGATTGGCCTGTATTTATCTGGGCTGTAAACATTTTTGTTCATTTTAAAGATAAATTAAAAAAAATAATTAATCGACACTTTGCTACTTTTTTGTATATTGCGGACTGTGAAAAATTTCGTCAATACTGCAGTCATGTTGATTCTGTAACATTTCTAAAAAAAATGACAACGAACGGAACACATATATACTTTGCGATTGCATAATAGGACTAACACTCGCTGGTGCAATAACGCTAAAAAATTCGGAATCTAGGCCGCCTGCATGAAGCAAGATTAGTTCAGATATGACATATTTCATTGGAAAAAATATCCCTCATACGAGACTTTTATTTATTTCATAATCTAAACAATATGAAAGCATTCCATTATAAGTTTAAAACAAAAACTTCGAAATATTTGATATACTTAATATAAATTAATAACCAGCAATCGAGAAAAATCATAATTGGAGTTGGCTGTGAAATTTAAATATTTTGGGTTAGTACTTTAGCCACTTCCACTAAATAAAATTTTAACCTTGAAATTGAAACTAAACGTTTGTGTCAAATTTGTTAAAATTGGGTCTCACGATTTAAACATAATATCTATGCGATTTTCCG